CTAGACCCTTCATCTGATGAAGGGTCTAGGCCCGAAACATCAGCCTTACTGCTCCTATGCTGCTGTTTGGCCTGCTGTGTTCATCCAGCTCTGCACCTTGTTGTCTCAGATTTTCTAGCATCTGCAGTTCCTACTATCTCTCCAGTATAAATCTCTGATCAGTTTGTGTTAAATTAGAAAGAATCTTGGTTGATGAAATTTGTCTATGTTAGCAGTGCAAACTGTGACTTGCTGGATGATTTTTCAGTTTATCTGATCTTCTTTGTACTGATGCTCATGAAATGAGTTCAAATGCTCCTTCTCACTGTCATCTTTACTTATTTATTTTTAAACATCTTGGTAATATTTTCCATGACATTTTACATTGTTAGCATAGTCCAAATTCATCCACTTTATCACAGCTCTCTAAATCCTTGTGTTAAACCAATTACCTGTTATTTTTCATAATAATCTGTTGTCCCAATTCTTAGCAAATGCTTTCTGAAGAATTTATAAACAAAATCCATAGACATTTCATCATTCACCATTCTAGCCTTTTTTCTTTATTCATTCACGGGATGAGGTCGTTGCTGACCAGGCAGCATTTATTGCACAACCCTAATTGCCCAGAGGGCAGTTAAGAGTCAAACACATTGCTGTGGGTCTAGAGTCTCATGTAAGCCAGACCAGGTAAAGATGGCGGTTTCCCTAAAGGACATTAGTGAACCACATGGGTTTTTCCAGCAATCAACAATGGGTTCATGGTCATCATTAGATTCTTAATTCCAGATATTTTATTGAATTCAAATTCCACCATCTGCCGCAACAGGAACCCAGGTCCCCAGAACATCATCTCGATCTCTGGATTAACAGTCCAGCAATAATACCACTAAGCCATTGTCTCCCCCTGAAATGATTTAACAAAATTAGTCAGATATGACCGACCCTTCCTCTCAAATCCATGTTAACAGAAATCAACTAATGCCGTCTAAATGCGCTGTCATTGATGATAAGTTTCCCGAATAAGTTCCATATTCAACAGTTACTATGAAGGTCCCACCTTCTCAACCTCACCCCTTGTCTGTGGCATGGTGACTGTTGTGATTGTAACAAGGTCAGTCAGGTAGAACTCATAGGATATGAGTTCCTTGATTGGGGCTGTTAATCTGGTCCAATCAGAGAGCCCTGGCTGACAGACATAAAGAGGAGTTCAGATATTCTGACACCCTGAGAGCTGGGAGTCTGAGAGAGTCGGACCAGTGTCAAGGACTTTCCACGTGTAAATAAATTGTGACTTGGTGATGAGATTCCAGCCTGTGTGGAGTTATTTTACTGACCCTCAGGTTAAACCACCATGAGTTGTCTCTCGCTAATGAGATAATGGTGACTTTACCTAGTAATTAAGTCTAATGTAACTGCATATAAAATCTGTTTGCAGCAATCACCAACAGCATGAATACCAGATTATTATGAATACTGCACTGAGTACTGGACAAGCACAGTCTCAGAGACATGGAACAATTGGTCAGAAATCAACACTAATTTTGAAACCATTCAAACTTGTAAGACAGCAGTCACAGACAGAAGCAGGTATGCTTTCCATTTATGTAAGGTTACATTTAATAAGTGTCTTCTGTGTTTTTCTTTATCAATTTTGGAATGTTATCTTTTGCTGTTTTTAAGATTATTTTAGAATGCTAAATTAGCCACTTAGGTAGCAGATGGATCAATGCATTCGTTGAGAGTAATTTCTGAGATGATAGTTAAGATGATGCTTTTCCACAATTAAGAAAATGTTAAACATTTTCCTGAACTGTAATTGTTTCTTTTTATCTTTGTGCTTAGCAATGTCCTGTGACATTGCAAAAAATAGATGAAGTGAGGTGAATAACTGGCATTAGGAGATCAGTTAAACTATGATGCGGACCTGTATTTCAGGCCCATTGTAAAGTCAAGCACAGATTTCCACAGGAAACTTCTGGAATCCTCACAGCAATGGTATAAACAGCTAATATATACTATTTTTGCCTTTAAGTTTCCACTAATCTTTTGTTTCTCCTTTGCATGACCTCTGCTGCAGGTTAAGCATTAGCCTTGGATAGATGGTTGCATTCTTTCCTATCGTCTGAAGATTGTGTGTCAAATTTTCTCTTATGACTTTAAAACATAATCACAGCTGACATTTAAATGTTGCAGCGAGGGTATACTCCATTGTCAAAGGTACAATCTTTCAGATGAGATAAGTGAGAGTCAGGATACCTTTTCACTCCCAGGAAACTCAGTCACCTGTGTTTCCAATGTAACCACTCCTGCTTCAATCACAGTAGATATGAATGCAATCCCTAGTACCCAGTTTGGAGCTGAATTTTACTGTCTTTGATGCATTGAGTTTATTGGAGGGTATTTGCCATGATGCCTCGTAAGTTCTCTTGTCCAATCTTATCCAACCCCATCAAATGCCGACTCAGCAGATGTCCCAGAATTCACAAGTATCCTTTGCACCTGCACCATCTTTAAAAACCCATTGTGCACCTGGACAAATGTAATATCTTACCAGGTGGGTGATGGAGATTTGCCATGCTAGTGGTGCAGGATGCCATCAACTGCACACAAATGGCTCTGGAGATCCCACAAATTAAAGCAGAGATGTACTGTAATCACAACAGCTACCATTCCATGAACATGCAGTTGAGATACGTCTGTGCACAGAACATAGCAGCCTATTCAGCAGCCATAATGCTTTTGTCCTATGTCAGTCAACTTATTGAGCAATAATTTATCCACCATAATGAACCAAAGGGTGGCTACTTGCTGACAAGATTACTTACTACAAACATAGCTCATAACTCTCACCCACCACCCAAACGTGCATGAATGATATTGCCTACAATCAGTGCAATGCTACCAGCAGGAATGTCATGGAACAAGCCACTACTATACTGAAACAATAGGACCAATATCAAGATGATGGTGGGAAATTGGAGGAGCTCACCAGCACTTAGCTGGAACGTGTGTCCAAATTTGTGATGGTGCATGCTGCAACATGTTACCCCCATGAGGGGACACCCTTTGTTACCAGACCTTCAGAAGGCACTTCAAAAGGAAGTATCCAAGAACTTTCAATCCAGAAAAGTTAATTGTGACTACTCACACTCTGGTTCTTTTCAAATTGCATCCACCAACTTGTTGTTTCATGATTTGCCACCTTTCAATCGTTCAGCTACATGCAATCTCCACCTCTGCTTGGCCAAAATCCTGAACTAAAAGACGTCAATGAAAAGAGTAACATATACAACATTTTCCATAATTGATATAAAATTGATCTATTCATTTACGTGGATTTTCCTGGTGCCTACTTGCAGATATTTTTGCCTGGCCCTGTGCTCCTATGCAGTGCTACCTGTTTAGCATAGCTGATGGAAGATGACTGCATTTTATGGGGGAGATTGCAAACGGTTTTGCAGAATTCACTTGAACAATTCTGGACTTGAGAGCTCCACTTCAGACTGCACCATCTTGACACTGGTGGCATCAACTTGGCTAGTTGACTGGAAGGATCCAGCATGTTTTCTAGTTGGAAGATGAATGCTGTCTCCCTGAGAGAGGAGAACAGGTTTGCACACATTGGAGAAATTGGAACTTTCCATCAGGGATCTACACTGGATTTCATTCTTTCTCCATAGCCTGGTTGCAACTCACTCATGCTCAGTGACTCAGCATAACTAATCTCACATCTATTTTGCCATTTAACCCTGATACTCAGTGCTAGTATATGAGCAGTGACCGCAGGCTTTTAATAAAGAGTTGGTGCTTGTTTATTGCTTGCATTGTAAAGGCAACAATTTGCATTTTATTTTCCTTTATTTTGGATTATGGACTGCTTTAAACCTGTCTATGTGGAGTTTGAACGTTCTCCCCGTGTTTGCGTGGGTTTCTTCCGGGTGCTCCAGTTCCCTCCCACAGTCCAAAGATGTGCAGGATTAGGTGGATTGGCCATGCTAAATTGCCCATTGTGCCCAAAGGATGTTTAGGTTAGGTGTGTTAGACATGGGAAATGCAGGATTGGAGAATGGGTCTGGGTGGGATGCCCTTTGGAGGAGCGGTGTGGATTTGTTGGGCCGAATGGCCTGTTTCCACACTGTAGAGGTTCTATGATTCTAAATTCTACAAGCAGATGTTATGATAGCTCTCTTAAAGAATGAGGATAATTCATAAGAGGAATTTGGCATGACTTCCTTAATTGAGGCTCAGAAAGCAGGATGAAAATCAAGCAGAATTTGAGAACTTGCACAAGGCAGGAACACATTTTCATTCTCTGAACATTGTTGTTGACATCAGATGCAATATTTCCAGCCACTACTGGATCCATAATATGGAGTATCTCATTCTATAAATGGTTCCGGTAATACAGACATAATTTGCCCAGCCTGTTCACTGCTGGTCACCTTGCCTGCAAGAGTGAAAGAAGAATATCACTGTGTACTTAGCAATATATCTGAGTGATGTGCCCTCCATATCTGAGTAGATGGTTGGTATTAGACAATGTGAGAGCTAGAGATGAGGTTGGCAGCATTCACAATTTGTGGTGGAGCCCTTCAGTGTTAGATCTGAATCCTGATTGCTGCTGTGTGAGTGATGGGACTCTGGTGAATTGAGGAATGTGAGAGGTTGATGGTGTTGATAGGTGATTGGAGGTCTTTTAGCTCAGTTGGCTGGATGGCTGGTTTGCAATAAAGAGTGATGCCAATGGTATGGATTCACTTCCCAGAGCAGTAGAGGTTACCATGAAAGTCCCAGCTTTTCAACCTTGCCCCCTGCGAGGTGACCCTCAGGTTAAAACACCACCAGTCATCACTTTCTGATGAGAGGTCCTCTGGGTCTATGGCAGTTTTACTTTACTTACAATGTGGGAGATGATGTTTAGAGACTCATTTCCTGATCTTGACTATCCGGGAGGTCACCAAACTTTATAGATCTTTGAAGCCAGACTCCAGGACTTTCTTTTCTACTCAGCTGTGGAAACAGAGAATATCTTCTCCTATTTAAACCCCAAGGCCTCCAATGTTTCATTTGGAAATCTGGGACTCTTCTTCCTGATCATTTTTCTACTTTACCAGTCTTTGTATTTCCATCAAAACTTTCTGGAGGAGCTTTATCACCTGTTGAGCTTGTGTGCATCTCTTCTGTTGTTACAAACTTGAATTGCTGCTGCATAAGCCACTATATGTGCTATTTAACCATCAGATCATTCAAGCAGTAGATCATATTTGTGTCAAATTGTCTTTTCACATGCAAACATTTCTGAAGATGAGGTAAGCATTCAAACTTTATCTTCACTCTCTTCAATCTAAGAGAGTGGCAAAAGCAAGCAGAAGCACGGTAATGTCCTGTCAGAGATTAACTTACCAGAAAGAACTTTTCCTCTTTTCTTTATTTTTGTAACCAATGACATCTGATGGGGGATTTCACTTTAGCAACTGTTTGTGGAGATACATACCATTATTTCTGGATTTGAAATACAGACTTCCAAGTTATAACAAAATAATGAACTTCTCGTATGTTCAAGTTTTCTGTGGACTGTTGATTACTGGAAACAATAGCATTGCATTACCTTGGTAAATAATTTCAAACAACTAATTGACTTTTAAACTACAATTTGTATCTCAGAAAGTGGAAAGCACAAGAGTCTGCAAGCAAATAATGTTTTGGTTACACAAGTTAACTTGGTACAAAAGGAATGTGAGGTAATATTAAAAATATATGAAATTGTATTATGTTGTTCAAGTGGTTTTGGTGGTGGATTAAGAAAACATCACAGACTCGCTAGTTCTATTCATTATGGAATGAATTAAGCTGTTCTATGTATCATGAGTTTTATGTATCCTGAATTTGTCTTATAGTCAATGCTGCAAATAAAATGAGCTGCTTTAAACCTACAACCTTCAGATACAATTGTAAGAAATTTTACAGAGCACACCAATGGTATCCTCAAGCAATATTTTCATTGCCTGGATTGTTTTGAAGGAACCCTGCAGTACTCAACTGAGCAAGTCTCAGGATTTGTTGTGGTATAGTGCACAACTTTGTCATCATGAGGGAACAACCCTTGCCATCACATGTCAGGCTAGAGAAGCATGAGAAGGAGGCAGAAAAGGAAGGGAGGCAGGGCACAAAATCAGTTTTTCTTTTTAGAGCACTTAAGGATATCTTAAGGGTGAATTTTTGATTTTCAAGGGGCACTTTTTTTATTCTAACTTTAATAAAGTAATGTAGTCGTAGAATCCCTGCAGTGTGGAAAGACCTCATTCAATCCATATCAGTCTGCACCAATGCTCCAAAAAGCATCCCGCCCAGATCACTTAACCTGCATATCTTTGGACTGTTGGAGTAAACCCTCGCAGACACGGGACAACATGCAAACTCCATGCTGTCATCCAAGGCTGGAATCGAGCACAGGTCCCTGGTGCTATGAGGTAACAGTGCTAACCACTGAGCCACCATGACAACATCATGTCATGACATTTTTGGCCTCCATTTCTCCATTATGTCTTGTGGCCTCCTTGTCACCTCCCCCCCCCCCCCCCCCCCACCATCCCACTGTCCCTCTGGTCTCTCTTCAGACACTACAGGAAAATATTTGGATTTTCCCCCTCCCAGTTTCAGCAAAGTGGTTGCAGTCTCCTGGTCCTGGGCGTTTGACCTTCCACTCCTTCCTCTTGGCCACCCCAGTTCTTGACCTGCTCTTCTGCTTTTGCTTCTTCCCCTGATCCTGGGCCCTGGTAAGCTCTCTATTATGTTTAGATGAGTGTCATTTCTCTCATTACTCACCCAGTCATTGAATTTTCCTGGAGATTTGGCAACTTTCAGGGATGACTTC